CACACACACACACACACACACACACACACACACACAAAAAAAAAAAAAAAGCATTTATTTCGGGCTGGGGATGTGGCTTAAGCGGTAGCACGCTCGCCTGGCATGTGTGCGGCCCCGGGTTCGATCCTCAGCACCACACACAAACAAATATGCAAAGATGTTGTGTCCGCCGAAAACTAAAACATAAATATTAAAAAAATTCTCTTTCTCTCTCTCTCTCAAAAAATTAAAATTAAAATTAAAAGCACTTGGAATGTGGCTCATTGGAACAGCTCCGTGGGTTCAATTCCCAGTAGCATGCATGCATGCGCGCGCACACACACACACACACACACACAAAGAACAAAAACAAAATGTATACAGTTAAAGCATAGAGGACTTCCTTATGCCAGCTCAGGTCACTTACTAGTTTTTGGAAATATACCCTGGCGTTTTGTTTGTTTGCTTGCTTGTTTGTTTTGGACACTGGAAATAAACATAAGAGGACTCTGCCACAGAGCTATATTCCTAGCCCTTTTTTTGAAATAGAGTCTCACATAATTGCCCAGGCTGGCCTTGAACTTTCGATTCTCCTGCCTCAGCCTCACAAATCACTGGAATTATAAGTGTACATCACTGTATTCAGCAAAAYCTGGCTTGTTTTAGAGTTTGATTATATGGTTCCTAGTACAAGGTAAATCCATTCTGGTTAGGCCTGGTCTGTTAAGGCCTAGTGTAGGAATTCATCCCAAGACAGTGGCCTCCCCAAAACTCCATTTAACAGAAATCACAGAGCCCTCTGTGTGGAGAAAGGAGAAACTCTTCCAGAAAGTCCTGCTACAAGGCTATTACARTTACCCAAATGAGAGAAAACAGCCTAGGACTGGACTCCAAGACAGAGAAATTGGGCCAATTCAACATATGTTTTTGGTTTTGTTTTGTTTTGTTTAGTTGTCAATGGACCTTTATTTTATTTATTTATATGTGGTGCTGAGAATTGAATTGCTAGGCAATTGCTCTACCACTGAGCTACAACCCTAGCCCTCAGCACATGTTTTGAAGCAGAATTAAGGCAGGAGTCATTGATGAGTTGGGTGTGGGGAGCAAGGGAAAAKAATAGAAAGGGGGTAGGACACTCACCTGCAATCCCAGCAGCTCAGGAGGCTGAGACAGGGGTTCAAAGTCAGCCTCAGCAACAGCAAGGTGCTAAGCAACTCAGTGAGACCTTGTCTTTAARTAAAATACAAAATATGGCTGGGGACATATCCATATATGGCTCAGTGATCGAGACCCCTGAGTTCAATCCCTAGTATCAAAAAATAAAAATAAAATAAAATAGAAAAGGAGACACCCAAGTTACTAGCAAGAATCATTTGGTGCTTGAAGATGCTATTTTTCTTAGTTGGCATAAACTGGAGAAATCTCAGATTTGGGGGTAATAAGATTTTTTAAATCCATTCTTTGGGTCCTTAAAGGTTTGAGATTCCAGGTAAAATGCAAATACCTCAAGAAAGAAGTTACTCTGAAAACTATGATTGATCAGTCTAAGTTAATTCCACACTGCTCCTTGGCAGCGAGCCACAAAACAAAGTCACCAGAAGAAGTAAGAGGTCAATAAAGAAGCGTATCAGTCATTCTTTCATTTGTTTTCATTCATCAGTAGAGTGTCTATTCTGTGTTGGAGATATTAGAAAAATAAGACAGCTAACAACTTAATTGCAGGCTGTGGAAACATAAGAAGGCGCCTAAGACACACTGTAAGGACATAGAAGTTTGGTTTCATAAAGGGATTCTGCAGAGACATTTGACATCTGAGTTGAGACCTAGAGGAGGAATGAACTTCAGCACCTTCCTATCTCCTCTGTCCACCCACAAAAAGTATTCACATTTTTCAAAAGTATTCACATTTTCCAAAAGTATTCCTTTGCAACATATACACTAAGTAAAACTTTCTTTTTAAAATCTATCAGTAATAGCTAACATATATTGTACAGTTAATAAGAACCAGTCCCTAGTCAAAGAACTTTACAATGATTAACTCATTTTTATCCCCACAACTCTATACATGTGGAAACTTTTATAAACTCCATTTTACAGACAAGACACAGAAAAGTTTTTCCTGATGTGACCTATACGTGCAGACCAGCAGTTTCGAAGCCTGCACACATCCAGTTCCCCCGCAAGGCCGCAGTTCCCAACTGCGTCCYGTACAGAATTTCTGCAGCGGCGGGTCCCCAGGCTGAAGTCTCCYTGAGGTCAGGGTCCTTGGTTATACATTCAAGATGCTGCCCAAGAGGTAAGGTCCGCGCTTTGTTAAATACACGATAGTACAATGCTGGGAAGTTCTTCCTGAGGTCTCCCTCTGCCTGCTTCCCCACTAAAGAAATGGACCTGAGCGCGGGAGCCCAACCCCGGCGCCTGCGGCCCACGGCCACCAGGTGTCGCCGCCGCGTTCCCGCGCGGGAGGGTGGAGCGGGCRGCAGAGCGCAGCAGCATGTGGACGTTCGGGCGCCGCGCGGCCGCCGGCCTCCTGCCCCGGTCGGCGTCCTCCGGCCCGGCCCAGGCCCACACCGGGTCCCCGCGCCCGGAGGAGCTTGCCCGGTTTTGCAGCCGCCGTGGACTGTGCGTGGGGACCGCCGCGGCCTGTGCGCCCGGCCGA